TGGATGACCGACAAGTGAGAGAAGCTTTTATCGTTTCGTAATTAACTGTTTTTTGTATTACAACACAGCCCCAGTTGTTTGAAGGGTTGATAACACTATCCACTGGATAAATTTCTCTCCAGTGGATAGCGCAGTTCGTTGTTTAAGTATTTATGCGCTGGTTAGCGATTTATCCGTTGGAAAGTGTTATCCACCCTTTAAATGACAGGGCCCAGACTTTTATTATGTTTTCCCAGAGAATTTTTCGGATGACCTTTATGAGTCGAGCTCATAATTAACGATGATGCCCCAATGTAAGAAGAACTCAGCCTTAGATGCATATAATGAATGTATCCTTAGGTTTTTGTCGTTTATTTTTCAATAACATTTAAGTTTTATGACTAAAGAAATTTCCAATCTAATTATGTCACTGACATTTTGTTTTTCTTGTCTGCAACAATCATCTTTAACTTGCTCACTCAAAACTCAATCTGTAGTTTAACTCTCTGTGTTTTAAACTGAATCATGTTTAAGGTTTAAGAAAGAACGAGAGAATCTGCTCGCTATGAGTACGATGTTTAAATATGTACAGAATGAGACCAGCAAAGTCAAACAATCTTTACAGGTAAGTTGCGAAATGAAACACTTTTATTCGTTAATTGACTTTAGTTGCAAGTGTTAGACTAGTCAGGCCCAGGCCTTCCTCAAAGAACACACCTCGTGGCATGGGATTGTTAACTTGGGTCATGTTGTTTCAAGCTGGGTTTAGATAACCCAGTGAAATCTGATTTCAGAGCTGAAAGCTTTTGAAGAAAATTGGCTACAACTTGTTTTGTCAGCAACTTGGTGATTGGATGCTCTAACATGACTAGAGAAAATTATCCCAAAAACCGGGCTGTTGAAAAAAAAGTGTAAAAAAACCCAGATCAAATTTAACCTTGGGTTAGCACTAATCGGCCTCCGAACAACTTGGCCTGGTGCACGGTGAAATTCGGTGCGCATGCGTCGCTTTCCCTATTTTCGCACTGTCCTTACGAGGTTCAAGAATGGGGGATTCAGGGTTCAAGGCAGATCAATCAATCACAATTATCTCCTTGGGAAAGAGGCATAAAAAGAACATGCGCTGGAAAAAAAATTAGAGGAAATTTGAAGTTCACGAGTAGAAAAATGTGTAAAAAATCGTTTTCCTTACTGCTGGTACAAGCGTATAATCAATCATTTGTTGTTTGCTTTTGTTCTGTTAATTCAGGAAGAAAGAAAAAGCCGTGATCGGTGAGTGTTCCTATTCGTATTTGTATGATGTATTAGTACAAGAAATGACAAACCCTCACTTGATTTGTAACACTGTATAAAATTTGTTGAATAAAAGTTAAGTTACTGTCGACGGTGCAATTGTTTACGCCATCGAAGTTGCGTTGAACGAAAAAAAACCCGCAAATTTTGCACTGTGTCGCAAAAACAAAACTAAATTTCTTTCTCTTTGACCCCAAAGACTGACTGCATCTAGTTTCTCAATA